GGCTCGGGGCCGCGGGACAGACCCAGATCCTGCGGACTGCGTCCTGCGGCGGCCTCGGAGGCCCTGGCGGCCCCGTCTGGCCTAGGCTTGGTTGAGCGGCAGACACTCGCCAAAAGGCTGGGGGTCCCGGGTCTTCGCCGTGGGGCTGCCCCACGGGCGTGATTCCAGGTCTTGTCCTTCTGCCGGGCAGGCACAAGTGACAACGAGTGGTCAGTGGTATGGTCAACGTTACGGCGCTGGCGCGCCGGAGGTGTAGGAGGATGCTGACACAAAGGTGAAGAGGGTTTATGTAGCACCTGCTGTGTGCAGACGCTGTGCTCCTTCCAAGGCCGGCTTCCGGGGCGCGCAGCCTGTGAGCTTGTACAGGCCCTATGCTCAGCAGGGTCCCGTGCTTGGTTGAATGTTTGGCTGTTCCAGCCTTGGACTTCTTAACGATTTTGGAACACAGGCCCCTGTATTTTCATTTTGTACTGGTTTCTGCAAAGTAAGTAGCCCGTCCTGGTGAGTGTGCTTGCATTTAACCTTTTCAACAACCCCGCAGGAAACTGTAAGTAATAGTAATATTAGTGTTAGTAACAGCCATAACTTCTAGTTATGAAACACCGAAGTGTTCTTACAAGAGCTATTCTAAGTGCTTTCGAGGTAAAAATCTCCTCGAATAAAACAAGATTATGAAATGGACATTAGAATGATCCATTGTTAAGATGAGGAAACAATCACAAGGAAATGAAAGAACTTGTTCACGCGTATACAGCTAGCTGGTCAGGGGCAGAATGAGGATCAGACCCCAGACCATAGGCCTAAAGCACAGAGAAGGGAGCATCCTGCGGAAGGTTCCACTCTTTGCAGCAGAGCTTAAAAATGGAGCCCCACGCACCTCGCTTGAAAGCCCTCGGCGGACCTCTGTGCTGTTCTAAAATGAAATAAAATCAGAGAGATAGGAGCTCTTCTGGGATTCCATCCAGTTATCCCGCATGCATCCATTATTGGCTGAGGATTTCTTGGCCTTGACAATGGCTTTTGATTTTACAGTTAACCTTGCCACCTATCCAATCCATAATCACTTAAAAGGCTTTCACTTGAGCACCATTTAAAAAAAAATCCTTAAGGGAAACTGAGGCTTTCAGAAATCTATTAATAGTATAATTTGTGGGAGTCTGGATGGCTCAGTCAGTTGAGCATCCGACTCTTGATTTCTGCTCAGGTCATGATCCCAGGTTTGTGGCATAGAGCCCCCCACCCCTCCAGCTCCACACTGAGCCTGCCACCTGCTTAGGATTCTCTCTCTCCTTCTGCCCCTCTCTGCTGCTTGCTCTCTCTCTCTGAATAAAAATAAAAATATAATAGTATAATTTGTAATAACCGTGTTTTCAAGGTGCAGTTTCTCCTTTCAGTGGAATCGCTACACAGTTCTTAAATTTTCAATAAAAACACACTGCCCGAGGAAACACATAGTTGATGAAACCCCAAGTCACCTGGCAGAGAACCAAGCCAAGGAAGTCCCTTCTCTATTAATTCCAGCATCCAGTTGTTTCAGAATTCAATTTTATGAAGTCTAATTCTGGTCACAGTGGTCAACCTTGTAACTCTTCTTCATGACAACATAAGATATGAAAAGATTGAATTCCCACAGTCTTTTTAAAAGTCAGCATCGGTTAGGGTGCCTGGCTGGCTCAGTTGGTAGTGTGTGAGTCTCGATCTTGGGGTTGCAGGTTCAAGCCCTACATTGGGTGTAAAGATTACTTAAAATAAAAGTCTTAAAAAAGAAAAGTCAGTATTGGTGATGGATGCATTAACTAACTAGATGGGAGGAATCCTTTCACCATGCATATATACATCACCACTATACACACTTTGTGTATCCTACAATTGTATTTGTCAATTACACTAAAGCTGGGAAAAAAACAAATACACACAAAACATTTTAATCAGTGTTAAATTTTTTTTTTCTCTGAGTAACAGCAATGCACTTCCGTGTAAGTGGGAGCAGGAAAAGTGCTGGGCTGGCCCCTGTCCGGATGCCTTTGAACTTTCTGGCATGTCAAGACATGAGTCCAGTGACTCTTCAAGGCAACATCTGATGATGTGTCCTTTGAGGGTTGAGAGGGAGGACTGAGTCTAGAGGGAGGCCTGAGCTGGACTGTGGAAAGGACCACAATTTGGCACCAGCTGGCACAATGCTGTAGGACATGCAAGCTGGCGGTGGGGGGATTCTGGGCATGATGACGGTTTAATTAAGCAAGGGAGGGAGATAAGGATGAACAAAGCAAGTTCCAGCCTAGATTTCTCACGAAACTGCATGTGTGAATAGTATATTATGATCCATCATACCTTGGTACAGACTTCTGCTTTCCTTTATAACAACAACAGAGGCAGAAAGCTACCAGCTGTGTGACCTAGTACACCTCCTGTAAATGCTTCTTCCAGATTCAATGCCAGGCTGAATTTGGGCCATGGTGTCTAGGAACTCTTCTGCTGCTCAAGTTTTGGAAGAGCACTGTTAGGAAGTTGCACCCAGAGGAAGACAATGGTACAACAGTAGGCTGGATGCATTGGAGGAGGTGGAGGCAGGGCGAGGAGGTCTTCAGGATGGGCTGTTGGGGAACCCCTGAGATTTGGCTCTGGTAGGAATGGGGGTGGAGGTGAGGAGGAGAGGGACGATCTGGAGTCTGAGCACCCAGCCGGACTGGAAGTGGAATGAGGCCTGAGAGGCTGCAAGGAGATAAAGCAGAGGAGAGAGGAGGAGAGTTCGGCTTGGGACACATTTAGTCTGCGGTTCTGATAGGGGAAGGCAAATATTTTGCAGTTTGGGAACAGGCAGTCCTGGGCACATCCAGCATAAACCAGAATCTCCAGCTCATTCTGCTATAATGTTAAATTTTATCCTGAAATGTGTTTATAAACCTGGCACGCTAAGGTATATGTTAAATAAACACGAACTCTGAGACGAGATAAAAATGCCTCCTAAGGAGCTCTGGGAAAATGCAGAACTATCTATCAGGCGCCCAGGTGGCTCGGTCAGTTAAGCCTCCAACTTTGCTCAGGTTACGATCTCAGGGTCTGTGGGTTCGAGTCCCGCGTCGGGCTCTGGGCTGACAGCTCAGAGCCTGGAGCCTGCTTCAGATTCCGTGTCTCCCTCTCTCTGCCCCTCCTCCTGCCACGCTCTGTCTCTCTGTCTCAAAAATAAATAAAACATGACACACAAAAAAAACCCTCTCTCCAGCACTTGAGGTCTTATTCCCTTGTGATGTCACACGTTTATTGCTCTGCTCTCTCCTTTTGTTTGCTCGTTTGTCTCACAAGGTATACGTGTTTCTCATGGCAAAATTCGTAATATGACAATAAATTTGGGGGCTTTCGACTTGTATTTAGAAACCTGTCACGGAAACCACTCCTATAACATGTTAGTTGTCTAAAGCTTGTTTTAAACGAGTATTATCTAATTTAAATATTTTCCTAAACAACTGAAGGAAACCTGCAAACAACCAGTGTTAGTCAAAAGCATCAGATTAAGAAATTATGAAATTCTCCAAAGAAAAATGGAATGATAATGGTTACAAAAATATTTTGGCTGTTACACAGCAAGATAATCTTTAAAAGAGAGGTTAACAGTATGGAAAGGATATCACTGCTGTATTATCGCTGTAGCAGAGGTATCACTGAAGAATTAGAACTGATCCATGTAGTTGGGTTAGACAAAAAGCCAGCCCCTCCTTGGGAGCTGGAAATAATAGACTACCAAGTGAAAATGTTGTAGGGTCAAGCATTTCCCCTGCTTTAACAAAGTTGGCAATCAGTGGGTTCACCCTTAAGTGAAATCAGATTATAAATGAAATCTAGTTCTCCGAGAACTAGAAAGAACCAGCAAAGTATAAACTTTGCTGGGGGGCGGGGGGGGGCCCCGAAGCACCAGCAAAATATACACTTGTGTGAGAGATCTTTTCCTTTTATAAAAATAGTAAAAGTCCTTGGGTTTATCTCTGGACTTTGAGGCCCTCAAACAGACGTCAAGTGAATGGACACTGGAGCCAGGCCGCCTGAGATGAAATCTTGGCTTACTCTCATTCTAAATTGCTTAGAACTTTGGAAGATCACAGTCTTAAAAATGAGCACTGGGTGTTGTATGCAAACCAATTTGACAATAAATTATATTTAAAAAATCATTTTTTTAACTACCCCATATATACAAACAAATTCTTAAAACATTTTCTTTCCTTTGAGAAAATAACAGATTCAGACAGTTTGTAGGGAGCAGCTGGAAGCAAGAGACGTGACTTATCCCCAAGAACTTAGAAATCAGTTGGCTTCACTGGATTAAACAAAACGGAGATATGCAAGACACTTTATAAGGACACTATTTCCCCAGCCAAGACAGAACTCTAACTGAATACATTAACATATATAAAGAAGGAATGTGGTAATCACAATAGAGGTTATTGTACAATGGGAACTCAGGGGAAAGGCAGTGGACCTCAAATGTTAATACTGTCTTGTCCACCTGATACTTAATTTCTCACCAAAATTAATAAATGAGATTTTGAGTTTTATTTTTTTTTTTCAACGTTTATTTATTTTTGGGACAGAGAGAGACAGAGCATGAACGGGGTAGGGGCAGAGAGAGAGGGAGACACAGAATCGGAAACAGGCTCCAGGCTCCGAGCCATCAGCCCAGAGCCCGACGCGGGGCTCGAACTCACGGACCGTAAGATCGTGACCTGGTTGAAGTCGGACGCTTAACCGACTGTGCCACCCAGGCGCCCCGAGATTTTGAGTTTTAGAAGATCCGGATTCCATGCCCCAAGCCTGCAAACCTGTGGCTACAGTCTCCCCATCCATTCACAGGACATGTCAGGAATGTTCCAGAAACAGGACCCTCATGTCACAGTATACTCTAAAACAGCAATGAAAAAAAATGAACGCAGTTCTTCAGGGTCCTTTTGCTCCCACAAGTTGGACCAATGGGTCTTGAAGGACAAATGTTAAAAATTCCACCAAAAAATATGATAATTTGCCAAACATTCCATTAAATCAACTTTTAAAAGCAAATGTGGTTTCTAAATTAAGCAAAACCCCAGCTTCTTCTAGATCTTTAAAATGTCTTTGTTATTTTGGAAACTCTTATGGCTTTGGGTGGGGAGTGTGGGATTTTCCTGACCCTATTTTAGACACGCTTTAAATTTCTTTTAAAATAATGCCAACTTTCTTCCAAAAAACAACAAATAATTCCTGTTAATAAGACATTTGTAAAAGTTGAGGGTGAAAAGTTTCTCATATGCTCTGCTCTGGCTTGTCAGGATTGGTTCTGGCTTTTGCTGAAGTTTTGACAAAAATAGTCAAAACCATTTTGGTGATTTTTCTGATTCAGACCAGGCTACATTTTATTAGCAGTTGAGATTTAGCCAACTATGTTCATATGATATATATTAAAACTATAATATATAAAGCGATCCTCATCTACTCGTCTCAACAATATCATAAAAATAAATTAGCCTAATTTTTGAAAAGAGATTTTTATCTTCTGCTGAGTTCAGAGACTTAGCCTCAGTTGAAAATAACCTCTTTATAAGCTTGCATTACTAGTCATAAATGTCCTTGGTCTATAAAGCTTCCTCTAATAAAAGAGAAAGAGAAGGAAGAAAGATACAGAAAGTTGAGCACTCAGCTAACCATTTCTTTTTTTTTTTTTTTTTTTTTTTTTAATGAATGCCTCAGCCTTCCCAAGGACAGATGTCTCTTGAGGTTGTTCCTCAAAGCTTCATCGTTGATACAAAACACTGACTTATGAGGATAAAGTGTCTTTATTTCATTGGATCAATCAGCCACAATTACTTATTACCGGCGCCATACAGAGCAGTGACCAGGAGGTACAGTGAGTTAAAAAGAGAGGAAAAGGTATTTAAGTCTAACCTCAAGGACTTTCAGATTAATGAGGAACCGTAAGATATGGAAAAGAGGAAAACCAAAAAAAAAAAAACCACAACCACAGACAAAACCAGTCACTGAGCGATATTGAAAACGTGGCAAGTCATAGCTGGAGTTGTAGAAGGACCTGGTGATAGCCAGAGAAAGACTTCACTGGGGAGCTGCATCCAACTCCACAAGATAAAATGAGAAAAAGTAACACTTCTCTAATTCAGCACATCATGCTTCAGGCTGCGCCACTGTATAAGCACCTATGTGAACAAAACTCCCTGAATCCGCTGTTAGACACTGCAGTGTTCACTCGTAGTCACAGAAACTCCGACGTCAGTGTAGCCTGACTTGCCCCAAAGCAAAACCAAATCCAAGGCCCAAGCTTATGTTTTCCAGTTTTGACATCGCAATCATACATGTGTCGGAGACTGGTAAGCTATTCCCCGAGCCTGGGTAGGCACGGCCTTTGGTTTGTGGCTGGCGAAGCGTGTGGCTTCCGTGTTTGCTCTAAAAAGCTCGTGAGTGATTCCATGTGCCCTCTCTTCTCCTGTATTCTGGCTAGACCCTGATTCCAGGATGACCTCCACATGTTGAAGGTGGTACAGCCTCCAACAGCCTGGATCCCTGAATATCTGCATAGAGCAGATAACGCCCTTACTTCCCACACACACGCATCCTGGGCAACTGGATTTCCTAAGAGTACATTCTATTCTGTTAAACCACTGAGCTTCAACAACTAGCATCACCTTAACTATACAATGTGTCCTTTTTAAAACACAGAAAACTAAAACAAAGAGATGTGTCATCCTGTTGAACTATGTCAGAGAATGTTAGAAATTTATGAAAGGAGTTGTATTATGAATTCATATTTATTTTTTATGTATTTTTTAAGTTTACTTATTTATTTTTTTTAATTTATTATTTTTTTTAACGTTTATTTATTTTTGAGATAGAGAGAGACAGAGCATGAACAGGGGAGGGGCAGAGAGAGAGGGAGACACAGAATCTGAAACAGGCTCCAGGATCTGAGCAGTCAGCACGGAGCCCGACGCGGGGCTCGAACTCACGGACCGCGAGATCGTGACCTGAGCCGAAGTCAGACACTTAACCGACCGAGCCATCCAGGGGCCCCTAAGTTTACTTATTTAGATACAGAGACAGCATGAGCGGGGGAAAGGCAGAGAGAGAGGAAGAAGAGAGATAATCCCAAGCAGGCTCTACACCATCAGCACAGAGCCCGACATGGGGCTTGAACTCACGAAACCGTGAGGTCATGACCTAAGTCAAAACCCAGACGCATAACCGACTGAGCCACCCAGGCGCCTCTCATATTTATTTTTTTTTTTAAGTAAAAGATAAAACATCTGCATGGTGAGTAAAATTAAACCTGTAAGTATAGATATAGTTAGAAAAAAACATGGAGAGATATAATTATTTGAGGGAAATATTTTTTTTAACCAATCTGTAATAGAAATAGCTGTTCGGTTCTCACCCCATCTGCCTTGCCAGCCATGCCCCCTGTAGCAAGGGCTAGAATAGCTTCTGTCTCAGGTGGAGGCTCTTCATTCATCGAATAAGAAGGTTTTGAATGGATGGTTACCCACAAAGTAACCCCCCCCCTTCTTTTTTTCTGTGTAACACTTCAGTGAAATTCACGGGGAAGAAAATATACAAAACAGATCATCCTGGCACTGCTCTGGTTGAAGTACAAGTGAGTATGTGGCTCCAGCCCCAAACTGCTCCTGGTGCCCCTGGAAACAACAAAACCCCAGGGGCACTTAGGAGCATAGTTTAAAAGCCACAATTTACATTATTCAATCACAAACTACTAGGTACAGTCACACTAAACATCCTTAGTTTCTCTTATAACTTGTAACAACTGCTTTGCCTTGTACCAGTTTATCTGCACGTCTGGAAATTATTTCAACTTTCAACCTACGTAACGTCTTACCTAATACATTCCATTTTCCTTTAAACCATTTTTTAACATTCATCCTCCTTCCATTTTTCACTGCCATCTGCCTAGTTCAGGCCCAGATTGCATGACTCCTTTGCCTCAGTTTCTCCCAGTCTCCCAATCCATCCTGCACACATTCTCTTGAGACCTCTATGGTCAGAGCTGACCTGGTCCCGGGACTTCCCCTGACCATTCAATCCTGTCTTAAATAGTCTCTTCTCCTTCTACCCCGCTACCCAGAGTATATCGCTTCCTCACATTAAATCGTAAATAAACTTGTTTGTTTGCCCTCACTGGATATAAGCCACTTGAGGATGGAATTTTTATTTTGCTCATTACTACATCCCCAACACCTGAAACAGTACATATCATGTATTTGTTGCTCAGTAAATAATTCTATAAACGAATAAATAAATACCCCAGAGTATATATCACCTGAATATTACTCTTTTCAGCTCAAAAACATTCAGACTCCAACATTAGCAAGCCCTGTTGCCCTTTTGCAGCCTTCTTTCCTGTCTGAGTCTCCTGGATGTTGATACAGCAACACAGATGATTCTCAAAGGCATTACATGGAGGGAAAGACACCAATCTCGAAATGCCTGTATTGTATGATTCCATTTATATGACATTGTCAAAAGGACAAAACTTTAAGGGCAAAGAACAAGATCTGTGATGCCAGAAGTTATGGGTGGGGATAGAGGCGACTCTATAAAAGAATAGCAGTGGGGGGAATTTTAGAGGGTAACAGAACTGATCTGTACCCTGACTATAACGTTGGTCAATAATCTATACATGTGATGAAATTCATAGAATTGAACTCCAAAAGAAAACAGGAAAAAAATAAAATAAAATATAGAAGCACCTGGGTGGCTCAAAGTGTCTGACTTCAGTTTAGGTCATGATCTCATGGTTCGTGAGTCCTAGCCCCACATCGGGCTCTGTGCTGACAGCTCGCAGCCTGCTTCGGATTCTGTGTCTTCCTTTCTCTCTGCTCCTCCCCCACTCACGCTCGCTTTCTGTCAGTCTGTCCATCTCTCTCTCTCTCTTTCTCAAAAATAAATAAAATGGGGGCGCCTGAGTGGCTGGCTCAGTCAGTTAAGCATCCGACTTCGTCTCAGGTCACGATCTCGCGGTTTGTGAGTTCAAGCCCTACATCGGGCTCTGTGCCGGTGGCTCAGAGCCTGGAGCCTGCTTCGGATTCTGTTTCCCTCTCTCTTTCTGCCACTCCCCTGCTGGTATTCTATCTCTCTTTCAAAAATAAATAAACATTAAAAATATTAAAATAAACATTAAAAAATTAAAAAATAAATAAAATATAGACATGTAAGAAAAATACTTTTTAGTCCTGTGTGTCCTAAGATCCAGAAAAGTTGAGTTTTTGCTCTCCCCCATCTCTTGCTATGATTTTCTGGCCCCCTGCTATAACCTCTCCTATAACCTCTCCTGTTTCTATCCCCTCCTTGCTAAGTCTGTACTGGACTCTCCACGATGAAGTTCTTTTGCAACAAAACTGCCAGATTGATCTTTCTAGAACACGACTTTTACCACTTCCCTCCTCAGAAACTTTCAGCGGCTCCCTATCACCTACAGCGGTGGTTTCCAAGCCTTTCTCCTTTTAAAGCCAATGAATCCTTGTCAGATGCAGTCTTTCTCAGGAGCCCAGTATGCAGAAGAGACTAATTTGGAGATTCCCCTGGTCACCCAGTTGACACCCCATGATTTCCATCTTACACACCACCCCAGACCCCCAAAGTATCTCCACAGAACCCCTAAGAACTCCTAGAAGGACTAGTTGAGTCACCAGTTGAGAAGGACCAGTAGTCACAAGGACAAAACCTAACTTTTTAGATCTGGGTTTCTGATCTCTAAGCTCTTACTGTTGGTCCTAAAGAATTTATGGGACCATAGAAAGGTCAGAGAACTGGCAGATTTGAGATTCAAGCCCCAATCTAACCACTGACCAGCTCTGAGGACCTTGTTGAGCCTCTGTTGCCCCACAGATCAAGTTAAGGTAATAATAACCTCTCAGAGTGCTCTTGTGATGACACCACATAGTATGTGAATTCTTCTGTAAAGTACAAAGTGCTTTGCAAAATGCGTGATAGAATATTATTATGGGAGACAACGTAAGTGGTGGCAAAAAATATGGGTTTGGGCCCTTTCGACCTTGTTCATGTACAGGTTCTGTTGCTGCCGTTGGAGTTTCTTATTCTCTCAGAGTCTTAATGCATGTGTAAAATGGAGCAAATATAGTATCACATTAGGACATGAAAGCCTCCAGAGGAAGAAGAGGGTTATCTCTTTCCATAAGCCTCTTTTTGTTTTTCTATACTGTGCCTTTTATTCCCATGACTTATTCATTCCATAACTGGAAGCCTGTACCTCTCACTCCCCTTCACCCCTTTTCCCCATCCCCTCACCACTCTTCCCTCTGGCAACCATCAGTTTGTTCTCTGTGTTCATAGGTCTGATTCTGCTCTTTGTTTGTTTGTTCATTTGTTTTGTTTTTTAGGTTCTACATATGAGTGATCTGTATGGTATTTACCATTCTCAGTGTGACTTATTCCACTTAACATAACACCCTCCAGATATTACCCTTGGAGTCCTGT